ATTACCTCGGCCACGTGTCGAGAAGCCAGCGTGAATGTTTGCATGTTGTTCTGTTTGCATTTGCACAAGAACAAACTCATAAAATAAATGATTCTACAGCGCTACTGGTGGTCAAACACTCCACAGGGTACCTTTAACTTAGTGTAACATGCAGTTATCTACTGATGGAAAGTAACTAACCACATTTAGTAAAGTATTGTACTTAAGTACAATTTTGAGGTACTATTTCCATCTTTCTGCTACTTTTAAAATTTTTTTGATATCTTTAGTTAATAGTTACTTTGCAGATTCAGATTAATACAAAATATATACAATTAACTATTAAAATACGATGTAGTGTTATAGGTTCATATAAAACATTAAAGTGATGATACTGTGTAATATATATGATTCCGACAATGGTGCTTTTTCCCTTTAAGTTTTAAATGCAGGTATTTAACTTGTAACAAAGTATTTCTACACTGTCGTATTACTACTTAAATTCATGTAAAAGATCTTAAAAGAGTACTTCTTCTTCCACCTATGAGTGTAGCGGACCCCAGCCGGACAATGGTGAAGCGTACTGATGTTTCCAGAGGCCTTTATTCATGTTCAACCGTTGACCTTACTTTGATGAACACAAATTTACTTTTCTCTCCTTTCTCCAGAAAACACTGTAAGAGCTACGGAACAGATCAAACATAAATGAGCTCTTACGAGTTTAAACATTCATTAAATTACATTTAAATATACATGGGAACATTAATCAAACACTTTCTTTCATGTATACTTCTCAAAAGCATATGTTAAAGCGAAATCTAGCATTAGCTTGAAATTACAGCTTAGTCATTTAGCTATACTTGTTAAGCTAACATTAGCATCTAGTTGAAACAATAATATATCAAACACACAAAGAACACACAATACCTTGTTCCCGCTCCAGCTAGGTGCTTAACCGTTAATTAAGAAACTCTTATTGAGGAGTAATATATTATCACACTTTTCCTTCAGTCTCCACCGTCAATTTTCGTAATTTTCTTTATGCGAAGTCAAGTTACAATACTCTGACGAGATCTCGATCCGTTTCCGGTTTCGCCAAAATGACTTCAAAATAAAAGACCCAAAACGTAAAAAAGGCACTTACAAAATAAAAGCTAGCAGGAAGTGATTAACTTAGGTAACTTGCAAAGTAAAAGGTTTGTAGGAAATAATCACAGAACCTCTTAAGAGTCCTTTACAATGATTATTATACATAACACTTACGGTAACCATGGTAAGCAGACTTTCAGGATTTCAACAATCATATTTCAGTATTAATAACACCACAGTACAGTACAGCTGTGCCAAATGGTTTTGCAAACACTTGAAAAACTTCTGAAAGGAGCAATGGGATTGGCTGAGAGGAAAGTATTGAATTCTCATACACTTTTGATTTATGTTATATTCTATCTCTCTCCATCCCTTTTTGCATCGGACCTTAACATGTGTGTGAGTTTATCTAGACGTAGCGTTGATAGATGATTCTGCAGTGATGAAGTGATGTTATGTTTAGTGAGACTGTGGAAGCTGTGATGTAATGAGCATATGATGAGTTAAACATTGACTCTGACATATTCACATAAAAAACGTCTTTTTGCCGCTTTGTGGCAGCAGAAACAAACTGTAAACACAAGACTGATATCATCGCCTGATGCTCATTGAGTAAATTATTATTATTGAAGAAGACTTGAAACTATTGAGACCATAGAAGGTAATAAATCAAGAGAGAAGTAGAGTCATTTTCTCAGACTTCTATACAATCAGAGGAGTCGCCCCCTGCTGGACATTAGAGAGAATGCACGTTTTTAGACACTTAAGCATTAAAGTGGTGAACATATTAATACATCAATAATTATAATACAATATATTATTTAGAACCTTAACCTGAAGTAGATGTTGATGTTAATCCTTTTGTACTTTCAAGTAAATATTTGAATGCAGAACTTTCACTTGTAACAGTATTACTATTTTTAGGTAAGTACAAGATGTAAATACTTCCTTCACCACTGGTTACTACTGTAGTAGTAAACTCGTTACCAAGATGTGCTAATTCTTGCAGCTAACAGTATAGCAGATTAACAGGCTGTTTAATTCAGTCCTTAAGCTTTTTCTCATGTTTTTGGTTTTGTAAAGGGTAAAAAAAATAGAAGGCAGCATCCTGAGAACTCCATCTGCTGAGACTCAACAGACCGCTATGACCTGCAAGGTGAGAGTCACATGACTGGTGGAGGCTTCAGTATAGACTAGTTTTGGAGTTTTCTCATGGTGTCTGATAACAGCGTTGCTGTCACTTAACATCGTGACATTCAGAGTAGAGGGTTTAAGACTTTTTGGAGATGCCAAACTTAAACTTTTGCTATGTTCAGGAGAGCTAAGGTCTTTTATAAGGGAGCTGGTTCCCCCGTAATTAAACTTTTGCCACCTTGCATAAACATGTTGACAGTTGGAACAATTTACTAACCGAATACCTTCATTATTCAATCAGATATCAAGTTATTCAAACAATAAAAATCAGTACCATCACATACATTTAACAAACTGTAGCCACAGGATGAAAACTGTGAATTAAAGCTGCAAGCAGCGATGAACGGGCCCTCGCAATCTGCAGCGCGTCGGGGATGCCGGCGAGAACGTCCGGCACGTCCGCGGCCGTCGGACAACGCGTCCGCGGGCGAGACGTTTTTAATCCCGCGTGGACTGTCTGATGCTGGAAATGATGCTTTGCAAATAGTCCGATGCTTCCTGCATCCGCTGCCTTGCGCTACAGAACACGTGCAAACATGCATTATGTTGCTCTGTGTCAAGTGTAAACCACATGGTGTAAAAGTAATGTAAATTGGAGGAGTTTGTCACAAAACGCAGATTTCCTTTGGCCAGCAGGTGGCGCTGTGAGTACTAGTGAAAATAATCTTGTAGACATCCTCAGGCCATGAGTGTTATCAAGCAAGTGAAGTTTAGAACCGTTTGGAACAAGTCCAGCTGAGTTACATCAGCTTTTTTCATGGGGAATCACGTAAAGTAGCCGCCCGCTACGGCTAAACGATTCCGTCAAACGTAAAGCTTTTGATAAGTTTTAATCACAACGGTCTTGACATGGTACTGACAAAATTTAAAGTGGATCTGATGAAGTCCCTAGGAGGAGTTCGTTAAAGTATAGCGACTAGAAATAGGCCAAAATCTATTGAAAAATGACACATAAATGAAACTGGACGACTTCCGGTAGGGTTTAGAGCATGGTCCCAAGAGACTTATATTTAAGTCTCCATAGGAGACATGTGCCTATCAAGTTTCATACGTGTAGCTCAAACGTAGCGCTGGGGCTGCTGTTTTGAAATATTGTAGGGGGCGCTATAGAGGCAATTTAAAACGGCCAAGCCCAAAACCCATATACTCTATGTCTGCCTATGACCTATGACACATGTACAAAGTTTCAGGAGTTTTTGAGCATCCCAACCCACTAAACCATCAGCTTCCTTTTTCATGGCGAACGACGGGTCGCCACGGCAACAGCCTTCCACGAAAACGCACAATATTCATTATCATGCATCATCAATGTCTTAAGGCTATCATTACCAAATTTGAGACTCATCAGGTCACCTGGCTAGGAGGAATAAATAAAAGTATAAAATATGACATTTCCTTTAGCCAGTAGGCAGCGCTATGAGTTAGTTCAATTGAAAATATTTCAATATGTTCAAGCTTGAAGTAGCATCATGCATAAGAAGTTTTGTGCGGATTGGATAATGTGCCTTGGAGTTATAACAACTTACAAGAACTTATTTTTTCAAAAACAATGAGGCAAAATGGCCGCCACGCCACGTCAAGGTTCTTTGATGAAAGCGCGCGATTTTGATAACTTTTAATCACAAAGGTCTTAAGAGCATCGTGACCAAAGGAGAAGTTGATCGCATAAATTCTCTAGGAGAAGTTCGTTAAAATACGAAGGCTGCAATCTGCAAAAAGTGACAAAAAGCACAACTTCGCGGGTTTGCTGTAGCGCCCCCTAGTGGTTGAATGCAAAACAAATCTCAGGGTATGTTACAGCATGCGATGTGCATATATGCTGCAAATTTTGGAATTTTAGGACAAACGGTTGAGAAGTTATGTGTATTGATATTAAGCCACGCCCCTAAGAAGTTTATTGGTCCATATCTTGTAAACGCTAAGAGTTAGACAGCTTTTGATAACTTTTGATGAGGTAGATCCAATAATGATCCACCGCGAAGTTGGTAGCAATCGGACCCAGCATGTAGGAGGAGATTGCAAAAATGTGTTTTTCACTAAATTCAATATGGCGGAAAATCTAAGGAGGCGGAGCTTAGGGGTCTGAGAGGCTTTTTTGTAGAACTAGCGGATTGGGACCTGTGTGTCAAATTTCAAGTAAATCGGACATACTGGCCGAGGGGCGTTGCCGGTCCGATTTGTAGGGGGCGCTAGAGAGCCATTTTTTTTTTACACACAAAGTTAAAATTATATCAGACTCTAAGTTCACCCAGACCTGACAAGTCCCCAAAATTTGGTGAGTTTTCATGCATGGCAAGTCCCCCCGAAATACTCCCAAAGTGGAAAAATAAGAATCACAAAAAAGAATACCCCTTACAGTTTCAATAGGGCCTTCACTGGCCCGACGTTGTCGGTTGCTCGGGCCCTAATTAAGTACAAAACCACACTATAAAAAACACGTTTAAAGCTGCTGAATTACAAACTCAGAACAAATGTATGATTGAAGGATCGCCTCCGCACGGCTCTCAATATGGCAACAAGGGTGCAACAGTTCACACAACAGTGCTGACAGAGCTAACAATGTTAAGCTTGGAACGGCATTATCAGCTGTAAATATTGGCAACATTTGACAACAACAAAACAGATAATTGAATCCAAGGTTCAATCCAAGTACAATACTTAAGTTAATATACTTAGTTACATTCCACCACCGCTAAAAGATCACAAAATTGTTTACAAGAGCACAAAGTTCTTCATAGAACTAGCCTCTTGATTTTAGTCTCAAAATGCACCAGATTGATGCATTTAACTTTAAAATGTACAACATTTTCTTCCAGGTGAGCATGCCCCAGAACCCTCTAGAAAACCAACACTAACTAGAAAATAAAAACTCAATTAGTCTACTGGATCAAACTAAAGACCGTACTAAGCTCCCTGCCAATTTGAGGAGGCGTCACCTTAAACAAAGCATGGATCTCTCAGAGCAATCAAGGTTAATTGTGTTACTGATCGCAAGCGGGGGCTAATTGTGTGTGAGGACAGGGTTTTGAGGCAAACAATTCAAAATCTGAACGTGGAATCAATAAGCAATGCTCTCAAATTAAAACAACGTGCTTTTGAATAAATATAGGAAAAAAGCACCATATTTCTTCCCCTGCGTTATGTGCCATGTGGTGTGTCAGATTTACCTTTTGTATACAAACAGAACCACTAAAGCCGGTTGTCTCTTGTATGAGTAATTATGTGTAACTTCAGAGCCGACTTGTGCCGAAATCTTTCATCACACACTGAGCAGCTGAAAGGTCTCTCTCCTGTGTGGGTACTCATGTGTCTCCTTAAATGTGAACGATCGTTAAAAGACTTCTTACAAACTGAGCAGCTGAAAGGTTTCTCTCCTGTGTGGTTTCTCATGTGTCTCCTTAAATGTGAACAATCGTTAAAAGATTTCTTACAAACTGAGCAGCTGAAAGGTTTCTCTCCTGTGTGGATTCTAATGTGTGTCTGTAAATGTGAACGATGGTTAAAAGATTTATTACAGACAGAGCAGCGGAAAGGGTTCTCTCCTGTGTGGATTCTCATGTGTTTCTTTAAATTTAATTGCTGGTTAAAAGATTCCTTACAGACTGAGCAGCTGAAAGGATTCTCTTCTGTGTGGATTCTCATGTGTCTCTGTAAAGTTGAACCCTGGTTAAAAGACTTGTTACAGACTGAGCAGCTGTAAGGTTTCTCTCCTGTGTGGGTTATCATGTGTTTCTTCAGATCTGCCTTTCTGCTAGTTGTTTTCCCACACTCAGAGCATGTAAATAGTTTCTCACCAGCACTACATCTTGAATCACTGACATGGATTTCATCAGGTTTCAAAGAGTTTAAACCTGACTGAGGTTCTCTGGTCTCCTTCCAATCACCACTGTCATCAGTGTCAGAAGAGTCTCCAGTCTTCTCATCAGTATCTGGTTCTGGATATATATCTGGTTCCGAGTTCCTGTCTGGTTCTGGTCCTCCACAGTCCTCTCCATCAGCATCTGTTTCCATCTGTTCAGTTTGTCTTTGATGAAGCTGTGAGGACTGAGCTTCCTCTTCATCATCTTCACTCTTCACAGGAGTGAATGAGAATTTTACATCAGCCTCCTCCAGCCCTTGAAGCTGCTCTCCCTCCTGACTGGTCCAGAGTTCCTCCTTTTCCTCTTTAATGTGTGGGGGCTCTGGGTCCTCCTTTTCCTCTTTAATGTGTGGGGGCTCTGGGTCCTCCTGTTCCTCTTTAATGTGTGGGGGCTCTGGGTCCTCTAGTTCCTCTTTAATGTGTGGGGGCTCTGGGTCCTCCTGGTCCAGACTGGAGCTCCACTCCTGCTGCTCAGGAGGAACCTCTTCTTGACCCACCAACAGCTGCTGGACGTCTACAGGAAAACAGTAAACACACACACACAGAGACGTTACAAAGAAATATTAGTATTGAGCAAATAGTCTCCTGTAGATACACTTTTATTTCCTGCCATCAGTCTCTCTTACACTGTTGAAGAAAAATCATCATATAACTTAAGATTGAACTGAACACATTTGGCTTCACAAGTAAACAGTTTATATAACTTATGTTGAACACATTCCTTTTCACAAAAACATTCTTAGGAAGTGATTAGGACGCGCCAGACAAATTGTAATAAATCACTCCAATTTGTATCACAACATTTCCCGTACACGAATCGTGTTCTGCCAAAAGGTTATCTTGGCCCAAATGAAGTCATGAGAGCATGACATAATGAAGAGACCAGATGTGCTATGTTTGTGGTTCAACGGACTGGTTTGATTGGTGGAAAGTGACTTAAGGGGAGTCAATTTGGACTATAAAAGTAATCTGTGAAAAGTAATACGTTGGATTTGTTTGGATTTGCTGAACTTGTAATATGTTGGCTTGTTCGTATTAAAACACTTCTCGCTTGTCTGGGGTCCCCTCAACGGAATCCACGCTCTTTGGTGGAGGAAGAGAGAGGCAGATTAGTGTTTGCTGGTAAAAAACTAAAAGTTGAAATGTTGAAATGATTAAATTTGATCTCCAGCTGTAAAAAGAGAGCTCTCTGTAGAAGAGGCGTGCGCAGCACTGTGGTGGCCATAAACTAAAACGCGGAGCGCTCCGTGAATCTCTCAAGCTCAAGAGACCTTTTAGTGCGCTGATGACAAAGCGACTGTTGTGTGCTTATGATAAAGCAATTTCTGTAAAAAAGGTTAAAGAACTCCATTGGGAGTGAGATATGTAGGTCCTAAAGATATTGCTTTTCAAGATGGCGGATGCTGGCAAAACTCTTGGCTGCCGCTCCGTACTTGATTGTTAAGTTTTGTTAAGTTTTGCTGTTTAAATGGATCCCAACGCTAAAAACATGGCCGATAAAGTTGAGCTGCGTGTTTGCGGCTAGATATTGCCATCTACCATCCAACCTACTCAAACATCTTCACTGAATTATCCACACCAGATCAACCTACCATCTCCATCTGCCAAAGCTACCTCCGTGCTAGCCCCAGGACTCCCGGGTTTGGTCCACAGCGCTACATCGTTGTCCTGCTACTGGAGCTGTCGGTCTTCCCTGCCTGCCACATCGCTTGCCAACACGAGCGGCCAGCACGAGCACACCTGTTTATCCTGCCGGGATCTTGCCGTCCCGGCGTGGTTAGCAGGCTCGGGTTGGTCTTCTCCGCTAGCCACCGCCGTACCAGGTTGACCTCCATTCTCCGGGCGGGATCATCCGGCTAACAGGCTGGTAGCCCCTCCAGGCCACCACTCATTCCTCACCGGACTGTTGGCATCTTGCCGCTGTTATGCTGTGGATCATCCCGTTGATACTCCTGGGTCGCACATCGCTTCTCCTCTCACGGACAGCCGGCTCTTGGTCACCAGCTAATGCTAGCTTATAGCTAGCGCTCTACAACCGGACCATGCCGCCGCTGTACTCCACTCGCTCACTCAACAATAAAAGCCTCATTCTGAATGAATTCATAACGGACAGTAACCTTGATTTCCTCTGCCTCACTGAAACATGGCATAAACCCCTGGACTACTTCTCACTAAACCAGACCACTCCCACAGGATTCACATACATTAATAAACCTCGTCCTGAGGGGCGGGGAGGTGGTGTTGCTGCTGTTTACAGGAAAGACATTAAAACAACCACCATTCCCATTCCTGCCGTTCATTCTTTTGAACATCTTGTCTTCAAACTCTCTGGTCCCACTCCTTTGGTTACTGCTGTAATCTACCGTCTCCCCAAGCCAAATCCCTCCTTTCTCTCTGACTTTGCAGATTTTCTGACTCAGCTATGCATCTCACATCCTGGATCTGGTCCACTCCACTGGTCTCACAATACCTCAACTCACCAGCCTCAACCTCAACATCTCTGACCATCTGGCTATCACCATGGACATTGACATCCCTATCCCCATCCCAAAAGCTAAGCGTAACATATCCTTCAGAAATCTCAAATATATCTCCCCCACAACTCTTTCAGCCTCTCTTGCCAGTACCATGTCTGCCTCCCCTCACCCGCTGTCTGATAATCCCTTCGATCTTGTAAACTACTACAATAACACACTCTCCTCCTGTCTTGATCAGCTGGCTCCCATTAAAACCAAAACTCTTATTCACACACTCAGCTCCCCGGTACACTCCCAAACTCCACCAGATGAAATCCCGAAAGCGCCAGCTTGAAAGACTCTGCAAGAAAACCGGTTTAACAGTCCATCTCCAAGCCCTCTCCGACTACCTTCAACAATACAAAGACGCTCTCACCTCAGCCCGGTCCACCTACTCCTCACACCTCATACAGTCTGGCTCCTCTAACCCAAAGGCTCTCTTCTCCACAATAAACAAGCTTCTCAAACCCAAGGACAAAACCTCCACAGTGAACAAATGCAACTCTTTCCTTTCATTTTTCCAAACAAACATTGACACCATTTACAGCAACCTGAACACCTCCCCCGCCTTTTCCATCTCTCGACCTGTCCCCCCCCCCCCCCTCCCTCCAACCCTTTCTCAGTTCTCCCTTGTGTCCCCATTGGAGCTGCCTAACTTCACAACAGGAATGAGAAGTGCCACCTGCACCCTGGATCCCATCCCATCTAATCTGGTCAAGGACTGTCTCCCAGCCATCTCACCACTCATCACAGTCATCATTAACTCCTCACTCAGCTCCGGTTCAGTCCTCGACACACTTAAACTGGCTGCTGTCACCCCATCCTCAAAAAACCTGGACTTGACCCTGACACCATGAGCAATTTCCATCCCATTTCCAATCTTCACTTTCTGTCAAAAATACTGGAACGCATTGTCCCCACACAACTCAAAGCCCACCTCATCTCCAAAGATCTGGTTGAGCCATTTCAATCCGGTTTCCGCTCACAGCACAGCACTGAAACAGCCCTCCTCAAAGTCACCAACGACCTCCTCCTCTCCTCAGACGCTGGTCACCTCAACATTCTCATCCTCCTCGACCTCACTGCAGCTTTTGACACCATCAACCACAACATCCTTCTCTCCCACCTCGAATCCTCCCTCAACATCACCGGAACTGCTGTCTCCTGGATTAAATCATATCTCACAAACAGACAATAGTTCATCAGCATCAACAACTGCACCTCCTCCACTGCTCCTCTGTCTCAAGGCGTCCCCCAGGGTTCGGTGCTTGGTCCTCTTCTGTTCATCCTCTACTTGCTCCCTCTTGGTAACATCATCCGTCAACATGGTCTTCACTTTCACTGCTACGCCAATGATGTCCAACTCTATATCTCCACAAAAGCCATTACCACTGCTACTCAGTCCACTCTCACCAGCTGCCTCACTGACATTAAATCATGGATGCAAATCAACTTCCTCAAACTGAACTGATAAATCTGACATGATCATCATCAGTCCCAAATCCCTCACTAAAACCGGTCACAACTTCTGCCTCACCATCGACAGCTCCACTCTGTCTCCCTCCCCACACATCCGCAACCTTGGAGTCATGTTCGACAGCAACCTCTCCTTTGAACACCACGTCAAACAAATCACCAGAACTGCCTTTTTCCACTTAAAAAAAAAAAAAACATAGCCCGTCTCCGCCCATCACTCTCATCTGCTGCTGAAACTCTGATCCACGCCTTCATCACCTCCAGAATCGACTACTGCAACAGCATTCTTCACGGCACATCATCCAAAATCTTAAATAAACTCCAGTACATCCAAAACTGCTGCTCGCCTGCTCACCCACACCCGTGACCACATCACCCCTGTTCTCCAGAACCTCCACTGGCTCCCCGTCCCACAACGGATCCAATACAAAATCCTTCTCCTCACTCATAAAGCCCCCCACAATCAGGCCCCCTCCTACCTCACCGACTTGCTTCACCACCACACTCCATCCCGTCGGCTCCGCTCCTCTGATGCCAACCTCCTGTCCCTTCCACTCAGGACCAGGCTCCGGACATGGGGCGACAGAGCCTTCTCCATAGCTGCCCCCTCCCTCTGGAACTCTCTCCCCAAACACATCCGAGACTGCACTGACCTTTCCACATTCAAATCAAAACCCACCTTTTCAAAAGTGCTTTTAATGTGCGACCATTATTGTGTATTTTATGTTTTAGTGTATTGCTTTTATATATGATGATTTTAATGTAAAGCGTCTTTGAGTACTCTGAAAAGCGCTATATAAATAAAATGTATTATTATTATTTTTAAAAAAAACCTCTACGGAGGCCTTCTCTGAGCTCGAGAGAAGTACAAAGGACTGGCTTAGATTTACATATGAATAACTAGAATATAGGGAATCTGTTAAGAGTGGTTTCTGTTTAAGGCAGGAAGCTACCCTGACAAGAGACTCAGAATTTTTGTGCAGAAATCTAATGACCAGGAAAAGTAATATCCAACTAGACAATAAAATGACGAGTACAGTTTGAAAAGGTGTGCACACGACTGTAATTTATTGACATTGCTGATAAATTAATACTATAAAGGAGAGATCCTTAGGTGACAAAGGGAACAGACAAAACTCCCTATAAAAAACCCTGTGTAAGGATTGATGAGCCTCTGGTGGAAAACCCGGGGATTAGACGAGTAATCTCAACTCCGTTGGACGACAGA